TTCTGTCTCAGCCTCCTGAATGTCCTGAATGCTGGGGTCACAGGTGTGAGCCGCCTCGTCCAGCTCTCAGAGTTGTTAAACCATCGTTTTCATTGTCCACAGACAAGTCTGACCGCCCCGTCTGCCGACACTTCTCCAAGAAGGGCCACTGTCGGTATGAAGACCACTGTGCCTTCTACCACCCGGGCGTCAACGGGCCGCCTCTGTGAGACTGTGCCTTCCCACCTGCGCTGGAAGGAGCCCTGACAGTGGCCCCCTCGCAGCTACTTGAAGGCCCTGCGTTCACCTTCAGTCAGTGACATGTCCGCCCCATTCATCGTCTCCCCCATGGGGTCCAGAGTTGTGATTGTCACTGGTGTGCGGTGCGCATTGTCTTGTGATCCAGGCTTCAGAGACTTTTGGGACCCCATCTTGCTCCCTCCCACTGCCTCCTGGATCCTCCCCTCTGCCCAATGACTGCTGAACAGGAAACCATTGGTGCTGTGTCTTGTGCATCGCCCACCTGTCTCCCAGTATTGCCCTCAGTTCCCACGAACCCTGGAGCAGCCTTCTGTCCTCCAGCTGCTGTTTCAAGTCCTTTGCCGTGAAGCCCCAGTGTTTGCAGCTGCCCGGACACGCACCAGGTTGTCTGTCCTTGGGGTCAGGTTTGAGTGACTGGTACAGACTTGCTTCCTGAACAGCCTCCCCCTGCTTCTGGATGTCCTAGTTTCTTGTCATTAGCATGAGCCCCGCCGCTAAGGCCTGTGGTCACTGTGCTTTGTGGAACTGTGCATCCCCTCGTAGCCTTCCTGAGTGTCCGTGGCATTTTTGTGGCTTCCCAACACTAGATAAGTTATTCTGCCAAATGGAGCAAGGCTCTCGGTGCCCTCTAGACCTCACCTACCTCCCAACACGGGAGATGTGAGACGTCCTCAGACTGCCTTCTTGTCGTGCCCTCTCTTCTGGTGTCTGGCACAGGCCAGTGATGTCTTGTAAAGCCTGGGGTGGGCCTCCCCACGCAGCCTCTGCCCGGCTCATTTTAGTTAGGCCCTATCATTGTGAGGCCACCAGCCCTTCCATTTGAATTCTGTGAATCTCCACCTGGCCTTGGCTTGTCTTTGGGTGGAACCTGGACAGTACTGTCACCTCTGACCCTCACATCCTGGCACTGGTTGTTTTCTGTGAAAACAGCAGTGAACTTGGGTTTTGAGCTGGCCCTAAGGAAGTGGGTCAGGAGGTGTATGGACAAGAGGAGTTGGAGAACTAAGAATGATTTTTTTTTTATTTTTTTTTTATATTAGTAATAAACACAGTGGAAACCGGCATTTCCCTTGTTTCTGTGTCTCAGCCGTCTCTGAAGTACAGGGGAGGCTGGTAGGGAGTCCCATCGCCCACGTAGTTCATCAGAGGTTACGCTCTGTAAAGGGTTGGGGGAGCAGATGAGGGAGTGGCAAGGAGTTGAGGTGGAATGAGAAGGAGTCGTCTCTGCAATGGCTGAGGAGAGTGGGAGACCGTAGACACGAGTCGAAAAGCTAAAGCCAACGAGTTGCTCACGATTCATTTTGTGTTTTTTCCCTTGTAAATCAAATTGAGTAGTTCTCCATATGGACTCTGTAGAGATAGTGCCAAGCTTTGTGATGATTCCTTGTTCCACTGTTAAAAGCTTAGACATGCAGGGCAGTGGTGGCGCACGCCTTTAATCCCAGCACTCGGGAGGCAGAGCCAGGCGGATCTCTGAGTTCTAGGACAGGCACCAAAGCTACACAGAGAAACCCTGTCTCCAAAAATCAAAAAAAAAAAAAAAAAAGCTTAGACATGCCTGTCCACTTAGGTTGGGGAACAGACTTAAAAATGGAGATTTTTAAAATATTTTTAAATTCATTTTATTTTATTTTATGTGTATAAATATCTTGCCTGCATGTATGTATGTGACTGGTGCCCGTGGAGATCAGAAGAATGCATCAGATCCCCTGGGACTAGGGTTACAGATAGTTGTGAGCCACCATGTGGGTACTGGGAATCAAACCAGGGTCCTCTACAAGAGCAACAAGTGCTCTTAAACACTGAGCCACGTCTCCAGCCCCAGAAATGAATATTTAAGATACTAAAACGACACAGGTAAGCTGGGATGGTGGCATAGGCTTGAATAGTGGAGTTGGAGAAAAGTCAGTGTTTGGATCAATCAAAATGAAAGCATTTGGGGCTGGAGAGATGGCTCTGCAGTTAACAGCATTTGCTCTTGAAGAGAACCTGAGTTTGGTTCCCAGAACCCACTTCAGCTTGCCACTCCCAGTAACTCCAGTTCCGGGGATTTGCCGTCCTCTTGGCCAGAGCACACCAGGCATGTACTCAGTGTGCACATGCAGGCAAAACACATAAAAGTAATTTTTTTTTAAAGACTGTCAAAGATTGACCTTGGCAGTACAACATCTGGACCCCAGGGAAAGGGGCCAGAGGAGGGAGAAGATCAGTCCACTAGGAAAAAGTGTCTGGAGAAATGGAGGGAAAGTGACTTTGTCAGATGTGCATGCTGGGGCAGTAGAACAAAGTCAGAGAGAGCATTGGCTTTGGATCTGTCGGTATTGGAAAGTGACTTGGGACAGAAGCATCATATGGGGCTGGGAGTGTGGCCTAGTTGGCAGAGTGTTTGAATAGTATGCAATTCTTAGAACATATAAATAGGTTGGAGAGATGGCTCAGCAGTTAAGAGCGCTGAGCAGTTAAGGTCTTCCAGAGGACCTGGGTTCAATTCCCAACATCCACACAGCAGCTCACAACTACCTGTAACTCCAGTTTCAGGGATCTGACACCCTCTTACACACATGCAAGCAAAACACCCAATGCATATAAAACAAGGATCAATAAGTCATTTTAAAAATTAAAAAAAAAAACTGGCATATTAACACAGGTATATAATCTCAATACTCAGGAGGGAGGTTGAGACAAGAAAATGGGGAATTCAGTGTCATTTTTGGCCACTTAGTGGACTTGAGATGAGCCTGGACTACATAAAGAAAAGCATGACTAAGGATGGGAGCTGACCCAGTCGTAGAAATGCCTTACTCAAGCTCCTATGCCTGTCATTCATTAGAGTTAGAAGCCAGCCCTATCTTAATTGTGGTTTAAAAGGCATATACTGCTTTGAAGGCAGAGGCAGGTAGATCTCTGAGTTCAAGACCGAGCCAGTTCCAGGACAGCTAAGGCTACACAGAAACTCTGTTGAAAAACCCCTTCCCAGCCCCTCCCCAAAAGGTATGTGCCTGTCAAAACTTACCAAGTGTTTTTGCTTGCCGTTTTATTGTATGTGCAATTGCAGTAGGCCAATTACAGCAAAATGATTGCACATCTACACCAAAAAAACTCCAGTGGCTGGTTATTGGGAAGGAGTTCCTTATATCTGTATACCTACCTATGTGTTCTGTGACATGTCAACCAAGGTCCAGTAATGTTATTTTCCTAAATTGACAGGCTGTGGTGTCTTGTGCTTTTGTTTTTTTTTTTTTTTTTTAAAAAGATTTATTTATTATGTATACAGAAGAGGGCACCAGATCTCATTACAGATGGTTGTAAGCCACCATGTGGGTGCTGGGAATTGAACTCAGGACCTCTGGAAGAGCAGTCGGTGCTCTTAACCTCTGAACCATCTCTCCAGCCTGTTTTGTTTTGTTTTTCAAGACAGGGTTTCTCTGTAGTTTTAGTGCCTGTCCTGGATCTCGCTCTGTAGACCAAGCTGGCCTTGAACTCACAGAGATCCGCCTGGCTCTGCCTCCCGAGTGCTGGGATTAAAGGCGTGCGCCGCGGCCGCCCGGCCTGTGGTGTCTTTAGTACATTTTACAGTATGTAGTATTAAAAAGCAGCAAGCTGGGCATGGTGGCGCACGCCTTTAATCCCAGTACTCCGGAGACAGAGGCAGGCAGATCTCTGTGAGTTCCCGGCCAGCCTGGTCTACATTGTGAGTTCCAGGCCGGCCAAGCACTACATAGTGAGACCCTGTCTAACAGCACACGCCTTAAACTTCTCCAGAGCCAAAGGCAGACGCACCTCGGGGTTGGAGGCCAGCCTGGTCTACACAGCGAGTTCCAGACCAGAAGAGTGACACAGCGAGATGAACGCTGCCGCAGCCACTTCTCCTACCCAGAAATTACGTCGCTCCTTGGGTGTCACCGCGCGTGGGGGCCGTCACAACGCGCCGCCCACTCGCGGCGAGTCTGTGGCGTCCCGGCCACGCCCCCGGGGCGGGGCCTCGGCCCCGCCACGCCCCCAGCCCGAGGCAAACGTTTGCGCCCAGGGTCGCCGGGGGCGGGGCGGGTGTCCAATGGAGAGCCCGCCCATTGGCGGCCCCACGCCACCGGAAGCGGAAACGGCGCCAGACGCCTCCGGAGGACTCGTAACTGCCACCACGATGCCGAAGGGTCCCAAGCAGCAGCCGCCCGAGCCCGAGTGGATCGGGGACGGCGAGGGCACGAGCCCCGCGGGTGAGCGGGGAGGAGGCGGGGACGGGGGCGCCGATGGCGGCTGCCGTGAGGCGTAGGTCCTGCGCATGTGCGCCGGGGCAGAGGCCGCGCGCCCGGGACGCCCCAGAGCGCCGGGAGGCTGACGGGAGGCGGGGAAGAGCATATGGCACCGAGGGAGGGACGGGAGATGGGGGTCCTGCCCCGACCTCCGGGGCCGTTGCCTCCCAGCGAACCCCTCCTCCGCTGGCCCCTTGGCCAGCGAGACTCGGTCCGATCGGACTGCGCTGGCGTTGGCTTTGCGTTAGGATCGGCTGTGGTCATCGCACCTAAGTAGTTCTTGTGCGATGTGCTGTGGGTGTGGGATGAAGGGAACAAGAACTCTTTAAGAGGCTTGAAGACACGAGTGACTACAGTAATTCCACAAGCATTTGATTTGTTTTATTTGAAAAGAACTTTAAAAAAAAAAAAAAAAGACAAGGGTTTCTCTGCATAGCCCTAGCTGTCCTGGAACTCACTCTGTAGACCAGACTGTCCTCTGAAATCCGCCTGCCTCTGCCTCCCAAGTGCTGGGATTAAAGGCCTTCGCCACCACACCCCGATTTAGTTCACATAAAATCTTTTTTTGTTTTGTTTTGTTTTTTTTAGAGACAGGGTTTCTCTGTGTAACTTTGCGCCTTTCGTGGAACTCACTCTGTAACCCAGGCTGGCCTCGAACTCACAGAGATCCGCCGGTCTGTGCCTCCCGAGTGCTGGGATTAAAGGCGTGCGCCACCACCGCCCGGCCGAAAATAAAGTTTTGAACAAGAAAGACAGAGTAGTATTGGGCTGTAAGGTGGAAAGCATGCAAAGATTGATTGTGTTGGGTGTTTTGTTTTATTTTTAGTTGTGTATTGATGTTTTGCCTGCATGAACATATGTGTGCCATGTACATGCCCTGTCAGAAGAGGGCACCTGATCCCCAGAAACTGGAGTTACATATGGTTGTGAGCTACCATGTGAGTGCTGGGAATCAAACCTTTGAAAGAACAGCAAGTGCTCTGAACTGCAGAGTCATTGGTCCAGCGCCTGTGTCAGCGCTTTTCTTGAGGGAGGAGCAAGTGTGGAAGTCAGAAAGTGGGTGGGCAGCTTTGTAGTAACTGTGTCCTTCTATCTGTGTGTGGGTCCGAGATTGAACTTGCCTCTCTGAGTCACCTTGCCAGCCTAGTATATTTTGAAGGCTGCATTGGAGGTTTCTAAAATGAAGACACGTTGTTAATTGTCTCCGGTGAGAGAAGAATTGAAGGACATAGATGAGTGTACTTACAGATGAAGTCATCCTAGAGCGCTCAGACCAAGTTAAGAAAAAGTGCAGTGGGAACCTGACAACCCTCACCAGTGGCTCTAAGAACAGCCAGAGAAATGGCAAATGAGGAAACAGGTGGGGTCACCTGACAGGTGTCGCACACCTCTGATCCTAGCACTGGGAGGCAGAGGCAGGCGGATCTCTGAGTTCGATGCCAGCCTGGTCTAGATAGTGAGTGCCAAGACAGCCAGGGCTACACAGAGACTGTCTTAATAAACTGTCTCAGGGATGGGATGCAAGTCTAAACATGAGGTTCACTTTTGCTTCATATACACCTTATAAACATAGCTTAGAGGGTTTTTCTTCTGTCTTAATACAAGGTCTAATATAGCCCAGGCTGGCCTTAAACTCGTGTAGCTAGGGGATGGCCTTGAAGTTTTAGCATTACAGACTTGAGTCATTATGCCCAGCTATAAAGTAGAGACTGGCTTTGAATTGGTGAAGATAGATTCATCCTCAGCTCTTGTTTATTTTGAGTAAAGTTTCACTAAGCTGCCCAGGCAGAGTTCAAACTTAATTCTCCTTCCTC